TCTTCCTTTGAAAAATTTCTGTTCACATATTTTGCCCACTTTTTAATGAGGTTGTTTGGTTGTTTCTAGCTGATTTGCTTGAGTTCTTTGTATATTCTCTTTATTGGTCCTCTATCAGATGTATAGCATGCAAGTATTTTCTCCTATTCTGCAGGTTACCTATTTGCTCTTTTGATTGTGTCCTTCTCTGTACAGAATCTTTTTTAATTTGATCAGGTCCCATTAATTAATTTTTTTTTCTGTTCCTGTAATTTTGTTTGGGGTACCTTTCATGAATTCTTTGCCGAGGTTAATATCTATTTAGAGAGATTTTCCAACATTTTCTTCTAGGACTCTAGTTTTCTGCTTTAGGTTTATGCCTTTTATCCATCATGAGTTAATACATGTGAGTAGCAGGAGGTGAGGATCCTGTTTCAGTCTTTTACATATGGCTATCCAGTTTTCTAAGCACCATTGAACATATTCTTTCCCCTGAATGTAAGGAGTATTTTATTTCTGGGTTCTCTGTTCTGATCCTTTGGTTGTGTCAATACCATACTGTTTAGCTTACTGTAGCCTTGTAGCATAACTTGAAGTCTGGTAAAGTGATGCCACCTGCTTTGATTTTATTATGTAAGGTTGCATTGACTATTTGGGGTCTTTTCTGGTTTCGTATGAAGTGTAAAACTATTTTTTTCTAGATCTACTAAAGATAGCCTTGATATTTTAATGGAAATTGTACTGAATCTGTGAATCACTTTTGGCAGTATAGCCCTTTTAACAATGTTGCTTCTCCCGAGTCATGAACATGGTATATTTTTCCATCTGTTTATACACTCTTCAATTTCTTTCCTTATTGTTTCATAATTCTCCCTAAAGAGGTCTTTCACCTCCTTTGTTAGGCATATTCCTAGGGGGGTGGTGCCTGAGGCTCAAAGGAGTAGGGCGACAGCCCCATATGCCAGAGGTGGTGGGTTCAAACACAGCCCGGGCCAAAAAAAAAAAAAAAAAAAAAAAATATATATATATATATATATGTTTTCTTATGTATTTTATTTTCTTTCCTGCTACTCTGAAAGGTATTATTACATCTTTTATTTGATTTTTAGCTTGACAATTGTTGGCACACATGTATATGAAAGCTACTGATTTGGTGTACATTTATTTTGTAGCCTGACACTTTAAGTGAATTTAATATGAAATTTATTTCATATTAAAATCACTTGTAAATAAGAAAAAAATGTTATATTTGCAGCCCTTCCATTTGATTTTCACATTCACATTCTTTACAGTACTTATTTTAGGCATCTTGAAATTACTTGTGTGTATAATCAGACTAATTAGATGTCTTATTCTGGAATTTGATATTACAGGTTGTTATTTATCAATCATATGATACATTTGTTAATGTATAATGTGAAAATATATAAAATATACAATAATGAATAATTGAGAATTTTATATAGGTACTGGCTTTTTTATTCTTTCTGCTTTTATGACCATATGAAAATATTACATACCTTTCACAAATATGAATTTATATAATTATTTAAAACAGTTGTTGTCAGTATTCTTTCTGCTTTCTATTTTCTTTTTGTAAATATGACATTTTAAATTATTTTTTATCATGGTAGTATTGTCATGAAGAACAGATTTGATTTTACAAGTAAATTCTTTTTTTTCTTCATTATCTTAAATTGACCTTCTGAGGTGAAGGGCACTAGGTTTTTTCCACATCTTTGAAATTGTGAATTGAGCTGCAATAAATATTCTGGTGCAAATGTCCTTATGGTAAAATGACTTTTTTTGAGGGGGAGGAGCAGGCGCCTAGTAATGGGATTGCCAGATCAAATGGAAAGTATACTTTTAGATCTTTGAGTAGTTTTCGTACTTCTTTTCATTCAGGCTATACTAGTTTCCCCAACAGTGTATGAATGTTCCCTTTTCTTTGCACCCATGCCAGCATCTGCTGCTTTGGGGCCACATAATAAGGGCAGTTCTCACTAGGGTTAGGTGATATCTCAAAGTGGTTTTGACTTACATTTCTCTGATAATTAGGGCTGATGAGCAATTTTTTGTGCATTTGGTGGCCATTCACCTATCTTCATGAGAAAAACTTCTGTTCATTGCCCAGTTTTTAATAGAGTTGTTTGCTCTTTTCCTATTGATTTTGCTTGAGTTCATTGTACATTCTGGTTATTATCCCTTTATCGTATTTGTTGCACACAAATATCTTCTTCTATTCAGAAGGGTATCTCTTCTTTGGTTTGTTGATTTTGTCCTAACTGTGCAGAAGCTCTTTAACATGATCAGGTCCTATTTATTTTTGTGTTACTGATGGGACTTCATGAATTTTTTTAATAACCTGATAAGATGCAGAGTTTTTCTCACACTGCCTTCTAGAGTTTTTATAGTTTAAATCTTTTATCCATCATGAGTTAATTTTTGTAAATGGTAAGAGGTGTAGGACTAATGTCAATCTTTACATGTGGCTAAGCAATTCTCCCAGCACCATTTATTCAATAGGGATTTTTTCCCAACTCTACATTTTGGTTGTTATGTCAAAGAAAAATTGTTTATATGAGTCTGGTTTCATCTCTATGCTCTCTATTCTGTTCTATAAATCTATGTCTCTCTTTTTATGCCAGTACCGTGCTGTTTTGATGACTATAAACTACAGACTCAGGTGTAACCTGAGGTCTGGTGATGTGATGCCTCCACATTCTTATACATAGAATTGCTTTCACTATTTGGGGAATTTTTCTGGTTCCATATGAAACATAGAGCAATATTTCAAGATCTTCAAACTGTGACATTGGTATTTTAATGGAATTGTATTAAATCTTGGGATTTATTTGGGTAGTATAGACATTTTAACAATGTTGATTCTTCCCAGTCATGAGCATGGTGTGTTCTTCCATTTGTTAACATCCATTGCTCCTTCTTGTCTCAGTGTTTGATGTGTTCTATGTACAACATATATATATATATTAGAGACAGAGTCTGACTTTGTCGCCCTTGGTAGAGTGCTGTGGCATCACAGCTCGCAGCCACCTCCAGCTCTTAGGCTTAGGTGATTAGGTGATTCTCTTGCCTCAGCCTCCTGAGTAGCTAGGACTACAGGTGCCTATCACAACACTCGGCTATTTTTTTATTGCAGTTTGGCCAGGGCAGGGGCCGGGTTTGAACATAACACCCTCAGTATATGGGGCCGGTGCCCTACTCACTGAGCCACAGGTGCCACTCGAGCATTAAAATAATTATTTATATCTGTGTTCATCTGCTTTTCCCCTAACAAACGTTAATTGAACAGGAAAGGAGGGGGAAATTGAGAACTTTGGCATGAGCACTGGTATTTTGTGAGACTGTTGGATAAGGGCTAGGACAGTTTTTCTTATGTGCATTTCTGAACTTTGTAATTGCACACCCTGTTTCAGTAATTATCCAGGGAGTTTAAACCCTATTCCACCCAAGTCACACAGCATTTGAAAAATTTAAGTTAATTAGGTATAATATTGGTATGAAGTGCTTTTTGCAATAGTTGACCACTTCCCTACATTGACCACATTCTTAAGTTGACCTAATTTTCATAGACCAAACATGCACCACATGCATGTGTCAATACACTAGGCCTAGTTCCTTATTTTCACCACCTTTGTATGTTGACCAATTTGTTACAGTTTTCTTTTTGAGTCATCAACTTGTAGTTTTTTTTTTTTTTTGAGTTGTCAACTTGAGGTTCTACTATAATCAGTACTATATATCCTTCAGTATCTCAGAACCAATAGGAATCATTGTTAAATTGGTATAAAAACATGCTTAAATCAGGTAGATAATTTATTAGGCCATAAATAATTTAGGAAGCACCCTAGAATATTGCTTTCTTTAGTGGAGTTTAGGGGTAATCCACTATAATCTCCTTGGTGATTAAGACTTGCTCAATTTATGCTTAGATATATTTTAGACTAGTTGTATGTGGAGTGAATTTTGATAATGAGAGTCTTATTCAGATGTTGGCTTCCATAATAAAATTTTACCTGTCTTCCTGGGGTTAAAAAAAATTCTAGTAGTCTAAAATAAACACTCAGGCAGGAAGTGGATGAACTTTTCTACTACTATAGTATGAGGAAGAACTTCTCAGTATTTATTCTTTTCTAATATGTTCTTTCTGCTATTATTCTATCACACCCCAAGCAAGCCTTTCTGCAACCTTTAGCACTTATCTTATTTGGGAGTACAATTAGTCCTTACTTATAAAGCATAAAACTTTTCATCCTTCCTTCACATTTGTGCATAGGCCTTTAGGAAATCTAACAGAGTTAGGCTGCAATATTTCACTCCTTTGAAGGACCTTTTTGTGCATAATATTCTCTAATATAAATACTCTTTAGCATTCAGGCCCCATGAATCAGTAAATGCAAAAGAAAAGTGATTTGGAATTATAGATTGTTTTAATGTGTGCCACTCTATGGGCATTTGAGTTATATGTATGAGTCAAATTAAGCCAAAGTTTTCTCCCAGAAAGTTGTTAATAAAAACGCTGTAATAATGACTTTTTGTTAAGGTCTTGGTAAAGCATGTGTATAAGTAGAATCTTCAGTCTGATGTATATAGGCAAAAAAGACATTCAGACATTTTTTAAACAATTATTTTCTTTAGCAATTCTTTATTCATCTTCTTTAGGAATATCATAACGATAACTTGAGCTCCTTTCTGTAAATAAATGGTTTTCTAAGCTTTTATACTCTGATAGTTTTATAAAGTTAACATCAACTACAACTTCTTGGTCCTTAGTATTATTTCTTTTAGCTATCATTTAACACATTTTTGCTATTATTTAGCTCATGTAGCACAATGTTAAGGTTTTTACATACCCTCCTTCACTGTATTATAAACTCTTAGAAGGCAGGAGCCATGAATTACTCAGCTCTCTGTTACTCATGATACAAACTTAGTGCCTTAAATATCAATAAAACAAATTTGTAATAAGCAGGAACTCAAAGTATTATTTTTTAAAACAGACTTGGTTCATTTGACTTGTACAGCTTCTGAAACAGCAAGAGAAGATTTAGAACCAGTTGTGCAGAAATTGTTTACTCCATGTACCAAAATGGGGTAGGTAAGAAAAATAACTGGTGTTTCATGATGGAAAGGTAATGTAACCATCACACTCCTCAACCTGAACTGAAATGTGATGTGTTCAACATTGATGTTTTACTAAGGTGGTTGAACCCAGTGTTTGCCTAATCATGGGGGGAAATATTCACTCTGTAATGTCAAAGGAAAAATACCCATTACACACATATACATAAAAACATATTTAAGCATAAAAATATACATTTGTATGCATACATACTCACATGCACAGAAAAAGGCTGTCTGGAAATATTCCAGTTGATTTGGGGCAGATTATGGGCAGTTTTTCCTTTAGGTTTCCTTTATATTACCGAAGTTGTACAAGCAGCATATATTACTTTATCCGACAAAATTCTACTGACAAAAGATTTAAATGTGAACTGGTAAATGTAGAAATCTTTCCTGATTAATAGTTGTTATTTAATGCATAGGGTACTAATTGATGTGATAAATACCTCTCAAAAACATATGTGCTATTTTAAATACTTTTCCACCTTGAATTTTAAAACTTCCCCCCCACCTCTTGATAATCTAGTAGCTCTTATAGCTGTGAATGGAACAAATATGATTTTTTTTGTGTGTAAGTGATTAAAAAATATTCTGATGTGTCCTTTTCATTTATATGAAGTGAATGTAATTTTTATTGTAGGATTTGAATGTCTGCTTCAGGTTTGGTCACTTTCTTTCATTAATTCGTCTTTATCTTCGTTAGATGTTACATGTCAGACAACCATGATTTCTTCCTACCTAATCTGTTTCCTTTTAACTCATCTCCTATGTGTGGTATTTGTTTTCTTAATGCAGAGATGTTGCATAGAGGAACATTTATAGTTATGTAAGATAACAAACTTTTCCATTATCAAGAGATGATATAGATATACAATAATTAATTTGTTAACTGCTCTAATAAAGTCCTTCAATCTGAAAACTTCACTTTAATGTGGAATTTAATTTGTCTCATATTTGTATTTTCTTCATTTCAAAGTTTCATTTAAATGTTTGGAGTATTGTTAAAAATTTAATCACAAAGTTATAATACATGGTGATATTCCTGAACTAATATGGAGTAATAATTTATTCTTTATCTTTGATCATAACTATGTATACTTGCTTAAAAAACTTTGAATTTCTTCATCACTCTGAAAATTTTCATACTTTTTCTTTTATAATTTCTATGTATGCTGATCCCAAATAATACACTAAATTTGAATCTTGTATCATTACTCTTTGCTTTTTAAATGTATTTAATTTTCTTTTTTAAAAAAATCAAGCTGGGAAAATTACATGTTCATTACTTGGCATCCTCTATCCAGTTTATATTTTTGAACATTAATCTTTAATAGTTAAAATGATCCCATCTTGAAATGATATATTATTTAGAACCTAAATGAAATTCTTTTGTAAGAACTGTGTCATTAGAGGGGTCTTCGGGTTCACTGAGGCACTGAAAAACTAGTTCTCACTGACTCATAGGCCTTTTTGTCATCAGGATGAGGTAGTGGTCATATTTTAATTAAAATGTTAGAACAACTACTATTGGAGTTATTGCAAATGAATCACCAGATAAAATGAGCACTGGGCCATGGCAGGTCAAAGAGACAAACTCACCTGGAGAAGAGAATTCAATTCATTTTCCTGCCTAAAGGATGAAGAAGGAACATTATGGGCAATATGAACTTTGACTACATTAAAGCACATTCTTCTCTGTAGCAGAAGCCCATATTTTCAAAGATTGATAGCTTTTATTAATATTATTATGTTATAATTATTCAGCAGTCATATGAAACATTATGCTTTAGATAATTATAAATATTTTATTTTAAAACATGTATCAAAGGAATTATATTATTGGGCTCCTTTTCTTCTTCTTCTTGAGTTCTACATTCTGTGTGGTGCTATTTCAGAAGCCTCTGTGAAATTCAGCCTAGTCACTTTGCAAGAATGTTCATTTCTTGGAAAAGATGGTATTCTTTTCTGAAGTACAGTATTTCTTTGCCAACGTTTCTGAGAAATTCCAGTAGGGGCTTTGTTCTTTCTTATTACTTTACTTTTAAGGTACAAGCCACAGCTCATAGAATATACTCTGGCTTAATAAACAGTCATACTAATACTTCCAAGAGCCTTACCTCCTAGGATCCTTTAAGAGAATCAGAGATCTCTAAACCTTTCCCTACTTCTCAGTTCAAAGAAGTATCAGATGTTTAATGAACCTGGTTCTATGGTGAGAAAATAAGGTGATTGATTACCATTCATGTTCATTAATTCTTCTAAACGCTAGAATATCCTTCAAATCACTGAGAGATTTGTTAAGTGAACAATATGTTCCAGTCTCACAGGTAAAACTATCCTAATAGTTGTCTTTCTTTCTTTCTTTTATTTTTTGCAGTTTTTGGCTGGGGCTTGGTTTGAACCTACCACCTCTGGTATATGGGGCCAGGGCCCTACTCCTTTGAGCCACAGGCACTGCCCCAAGAGTTTTCTTATTTTACCCATGAAGCTGAGATTTTTCCATAAAAACTGAAATGAGAATATTATTAATACTATACCTTGAAATGTCTAAAATGTAGTATCATCACTGCGCCATCTTCTTTCCCTTTTTTCCCTTCATTGTGCAGAGCATATGGAATTGTCTCATTCCATCTCGCTCATTTTTATCTCAAAGAGAAGTACTGGTTAAAAACATAAATTCCTTTATAGGTGTATTTGAAGTCAGTGGCTGGTAAAATTGTTAAGTATTTTACTGAGAAGGCAATGCCATCTCTTAATTCATTTTTGTTTCTATTGTGTCTAGACTCAGTCAGGGCTATGCCAGGCCTGACTACTCTGCCCATGTTGTTATTATAAATTAGCTTAAGTCTATCCCTAAACATTATATGCAACTGTAGACCATTTCTTGCTTTTCTTTGGTATGCCATAGTTGTTTTTCTTCTTCCTGCCTTATTCCGTACCTACCCTAGTTTAAATTAACCAAGATCTTACTGTAAATTACCTATTACATTGTTAGCCCTTTATACTGTCTAATTGAATTCAATGAGCTATTTCAGAAAACCTATCTGCTTTCCAGCAACTTGTGATGCACTCCTAGCCAAAACTTAGAGATTTTAGTATTTTTTTTTGACAATTATGCACTTAACAATTATGTTCTCTTCTTCCAGTTATCCCTCTGCCTTCTAGCTGACCTCAAAGAAAGAAGAAGCAATTATGTGTCTCTTGGCAGTTTTAAGATCAAAGCCTGATAACTCCTTTATATCCAGAGCATTAATCCTCAACCTATGTCAACTTTTCACCTTTCTCATGGCTTCTTTTAAAAGCCTCAACTTTTCTTTTTTTTTCTTTTTTTGAGACAGAGCCTCACGCTGTCCCCCTGGGTAGAGTGCTGTGGCATCACAGCTCACAGCCACCTCCAACTCCTGGGCTCAAGCAAGTCACCTTCCTCCGCCTCCCAAGTAGCTGGGACCACAGGCGCCCACCACAACGCCTGGCTATATTTTGGTTGCAGTCATCATTGTTGTTTGGAAGGACCGGGCTGGATTTGAACCCACCACCTTAGGTGTATGTGGCTGGCGCCTTAGCCACTTGCGCCACAGGCGCTGAGCCAAAGCCTCAACTTCTATGATATTTTTTTCCTGTAATATATTGGATGGTTCATTATTTCCAACTTTTATTAAGTGAAAGCACTGCTCTGAGGTGAATCTTTTGTTATATGTAAGTTAAATCATCCTAATATATGCTTAGAAATGGGACTGGCAATATTAAACACCTTCCACACCTTACCTCACTTCTCAACAATGCTTCCCAAATCTAGTGTCACATAACATAGGTGGTATGCTTAAGCATCTTCTCTGAAATATTTAGTAATAATAAATTTACCATTCAATATACTAAGATCCATATGGTTTTAGCTATGAAATACCAATTCCGTATGTCCCTTTATTTTTTCAATAGATTTCACCTCCTAATGTGTGGCTACATAAAGTTAGTGATACCACTTAGACTCAAAGATGTTAACTTGAAAAAAGAGCACCTTAAGAGATTACTTCTTCTACTCAGAATTTCTTCATCCTATAACAATTATAATTATAGATATTTATTAATGGGATAAACTAGAAAAATACATTATTGGTATTCTTTCAGTAAAGATACTATAAATTAAATATAAAAAAATCATATTTGTCCCGAATTGGGGAATAAGGCTTTCTAGTTAATTTAATACTGCAGCTAGGAGAGCTCCTTTGATTACCAATTTAATAATAATAATAATTAACTAGATAATTATACCTTTAGCACTTTCTTTATGATTCACAAAGTACCTCGTGGCCTTGAATAATCTTTACAAACATCCATTATTTTACATCCATTATCCATTATTACTCAGAATTTGAATTTTTGTTCATATTCAGTCTGACTATAGAAAACTATAGTCAATAAATATATTAATAGTAAGATAAGAAAATTATAACATTTTTAAAGAAGAGAGGCAGATAAATGATCGATAGCAAGAAATAGGCTTTTTAAGATTTTGAAGTTAATAAGGTTGGTTCTTCTTATAAGCACATAATACTTGTGCTTGAAAGTATTATGTTTAATTATTTATTCTTGAAAAGAATATTTTTAATTATTCTTGAAAAGAGGATTAAAATCAATTCAGAAATTATTTAACACCTGTTGTGTGGTAGTCTGTATATTATGAAACCAAAATCAGGAGAGGAAAGTGAGGACAACGTCTGTTTCATCTGCATACCTCTCTAGCTCAATGCCTAATATGGACAATATCATAGATGCTTCCTATTAAATGAAAGATGTATGGAAAATGTCATTTAGTATCATAACCTCATCTTTGTTATTTGTTGGTTGGTTGCCACTAATTTTGATATCCAGTAGTACAAAGTATTAGAATGTAAGTTAGGATATCAAAGTTTTAATCCAATGAATATATATATATATATATACACACATAAGCCTATACACATAATACATATATATACACATAAGCCTATATATGTAAATTTTTTAATAATAGTTTTATTGAGATATTATTCATATACTTTATGATTCACCCATTTAAAGTAAAAATGCAGTTTTTTAGTATATTCACAGAATTTTCCAAATATAACCACAATTTTAGAGTACTTCCATCACTTCCAAAAGAAACCCTATATCCATTATCCATCACCATCTATTTGCCCTCAATTCTCCTAAGCCCTAGTTAACCACCACTCAAATTTCTGTCTCTGTAGATTTGCTTATTCTGGACATGTCTCATATATATACATGTATATAATATGTGTGTGTATACACAGACTGTAATAATTTATTGAGTTTGTTTGTGTAGCTTGTTCATTTGAAACCTAAGAAAATCAATTTATGTTATCTTCTCACTTCATTAGGGTAATTTAAAGATGAATGTGATCATAAGCACTTTGATACTAGTGAGGACAAGTAATAGAAATACAAGAGGTATGATTTGATTTAAATCTAATTAGTTTACTAATCAAAATAATTTTTAAAATCTAACTTGTCTTAGGTTAGAAACCCACCATTGCTTGAACTATTATACATGTATATTAGAGTTTGTGAATGTCAATTTACTAATTGTTTACATATAAAACTCTGATTTACTATAATGTCTATTTGTGGCTTAATTGTTAATAGGCCATATAGTATAGTAATTGACAAGCACATTGTGTTTTGGAATTAAATAAAATTTATTTCCACATTTAGAAAAAAAGAAGTTGAAAAGCCAAGACTCTTAAGGGCTCTTTACTTCAATATCAGATATTCTTCAGACATCAGCAGGATCTGTTACAATAATTTACCATCCAATGTTTATGTCTGCTCTGGCCCAGACTGTGGTTTAGGAAATGATAATGCAGTTAAACAGGTAAGGCTATTGTTGGTATTGATCAGTTTTGTCTTAGATATCAATGTGGTAGGGAAAGTTATTTTTTTTCTTTTGCAAGAAGGAAACAAAGACTAGAAAAGCATTTCTCTCATTTAGTACCATGTCTGAAACTTTTCCCTACACTTTTTTTGCTATAAACTACCAGCTATTTTAAATATAGTACACATATCAGATGTTTTTACTTCCTTGAATATGATGATAAATTACAAAAGATTATGAGTTCCATTGTGGTGATAAGGATGGAAGATGTAAAAAGTACATAGTCATAAAAATGAATTTATAGTGCCCATATACACAAAAAATTGGTTCTAATATAAACAATTGGACTATCGTGTATTATTTTGAAATACACAAATGTTTTTTCCTGGTAACCCAAGAGCAATAGACAATACAATTTTACAGTGGTGTTAAATTATTTTTTTATCATTGAAAAGAACATATAACATGATTTTTCACAACTAACATAATTCCATTAATGTTTTCACACAAGCCAGTGCCCTAAGATCTACTAGTACAGCTACTGAGGATTGTGGAAAACTGAGGTAGAAGTTTGTTACAGCAGTTCTTGGCAGGGCTATGAAGAGGTACAGGCTGACAATAAGTTTCCTAAAGTGAGCTATAATTCCATTAAACTGAAGATTCATGTACATATACAAATATACTTCTTGCCCTTGACAGGAAGATAAAAGCAGAAAATATTTTTTGAGGTATACATGGTCTGACAATTAAGTTTTTGAACTCATCCTAGAAAAATTACTACATAACTCATTGATGAATAGCACTATGGTCACTTTAAAAGTACTTCCTTTGAGAAGCTATGCACTGACAATAGCACCTACTCCAGCCTTCAAAAAAAAAATTGGAACTCTTTCCGGAATGGTTATCAGAGCTGTCATAATAGGTCTGACAATTCATTTTACAAACTTTCCATCATGCAATTACATGTGCACCACTATGCAAACAACTACATAAGGTTTCATAACCTTGGTATATCAGTGTGTTACAGCTATGTTCATGTTGAAATGTGGTGGTGTCTTACTGATTATCATTCATTATTGTTGTTATGTGTTATTGTATGCTACACGGTGGCAGTTCTGATGGTTATTCCAGACAAAAAGTTACAAAATTGCTTTGAAGGGTCAATTAGGTGCTGGTTTTAGTGCATAGCTTCCTAAGAGGAGTACTTTGAAGGTGACCATAATGTTATTCAGGAATGAGGTATGTAATACCTTTTCTAGTATGAGTTCATGAACTTAATTGTCAAATCTTATAAGTCTAAACTTTTCACAGGTTGAGTTGACACATATGCCTATTGAGTTAATAGATGGGTTATTTAATATTGTTGAGACCACAAATGGGACTTTCATTTACACCAGTAGCAAGGATCTTATTGTAGCAAATGGCCTTGTTGAGCCTTTAATCTATTTCTTAATCATAACACCAAGGCTATAACTATAGCCATGATTTAGATCTCTATATTTTTTCACCAACATTCTTTGTGTCTCATCTTCAGAGTTTTCTCGTGATCCTGGATAATCAGATGTAGCCAGTGACACCAAACAAAAGCAGAAAGTCACATCTCTCATCCATCATTCATTCTGTTAGTTTAATAGGAACCCAAGATGGCTTAAGATCTGTATTTATGATTTAAAATAATCTAGTCATTTTTACTTTGATGTTCTTTTTTTTTTGCAAGGAGAAATTTCCAATGAGTTTCCAGCCAGGTAACTTAGGTCATTTTTATCCTTGAATTAATTTTATTTGTTTCTAACCAAAGTGGAAGACCTTTTAAATTAGGACTTATAATACAAATGCTAATGTGATCTAAACTTCAGGCTATAAGATTATAATTAAGGAATAATTTTTTTTTTTCTTTTTGCAATTTTTGGCTGGGGCTGGGTTTGAAACTGTCACCTCCAGCATATGAGGCCGGTGCCCTACTCCTTTGAGCCACAGGTGCTGCCCATAATTAAGGAATAATTTTATCTTGAGGTAATTTATTTCCCAAGAAGATAAGGGTCAGGTGTAAAGTGTTATAGTCTAAAACAGTATAATGCTAATTTTGGTGCTAAACATTATGCACTATTAAATGTAATTAGTTTTAAATTTGTTATGTAGCTTTTAATCTCATATTTCATAGTTGTGGAAGAAATAATTATTGTGTGTACTTTAAAAACATCAAGCATATTTATTAATAGCCAGATTCTTCAGATAAACTGCATTCTATTTCTAGTGTGTTCTGTTGGTTATTCCACTAACTAATTTATTTCTGTTTTCGTAATGAAGTTCTCTTAGCATCACCTAGGTTTTGTCCATGTGGAAAACAAAACTCCTGAAGATTTCTTTCTGAGTTGTATTCATAGGAACTATTTATGATTTGAGATGCACTGAAAATATAAAATAATTTGTTTTTAATATCCATCGGTTCAAATTGTCTGCAGGAGCACACCAAGGCATTCACTATTGTCGCTACATGATACTAACCTAGTTGTGATTCCTTCTGTGACTTGCTATTTTTTTTTTTTTTTGAGATGGAGCCTCAAGCTATCCCCCTGGGTAGAGTGCCATGGCATCACACTCACAACAACCTCCAACTCCTGGGCTCAATCGAGTCTCCTGCCTCAGCCTCCCAAGTAGCTGAGACCACAGGCGCCCGCCACAATGCCTGGCCATTTTTTGGTTGCAGCCATCATTGTTGTTTGGCGGGCCTGGGCTGGGGATTCGAACCCGCCACCTTAGTTGTATGTGGCTGGCGCCTTAGCCACTTGAGCAACAGGTGCCGAGCCGCTATTTTTTATAGTTTATGTTACTTCAATTTTTTTTCAGAATCTACCATCTAATATCTCTTTTCCTGGTAGAAGTAGTAGCTCATTCAATCACATATACTAATGAACAGATTGGCTCATAGTCTCCACTCCCCCAAAATTGATGATTCCTCCTCCTTTTAGGAGCCCCTTCGTGCTAAGAGCTGTCCCTTCCATGGGAACAACAATAAATGATACTGTACTCTTTGTTTTATACATCAGGCAGAAAATGAGTTAAATTGGCTGATGTAGGGTTGGGCTGGCAACCTTAGGAATATTCAGAACATTTTAATGTTTTATTCACAGATTAACAACTTATTTAGGACTTTTGGTACACAGTCCATTAGTAAGTTAAAGAGCTAGCTTTGTAGATTGTATGAACTATCAAGCTATTCACATATTGCATTGCCATTTTATTTCTCATGTCCTTGAGGAAGAATGCAATTTTAGGTGTCATATTTTCTGTAGCTTTCATTCACTTTAGCATTTTCTGTGTCTCAGATACTATCCTTAATTTTTTATATATATTATTTGGTCCTCATAACGATCTTACAGTGTAAGTATTCACATCATTTTCATCTTACAGATGACTTAGCTAAACCTCAAAGAGATTAAATAAATAATTTTTCCAAAGGTCTCATAGCTAGGAAGCCCAGATATAACTCAAGTCTTAGATCCCAGGGCTTGTACACTCATCCAACGTGCTATGCTACTATCGATTTAGGAATAGGGATATATCTAAATATGTGAAAGTACTAGATTGACAATGTTTATATTTTTGTGTGTAGATATGTGTTAAAAAAAAAAAACAACAGAAAGACTATAGATAACTAATTTTGTCCTAGCTATACTTCCCAGTATAAAGATACCAAATCACAACATAATTGGCCCTTTATAATTTTTTAACTACATAAACTCTTCACCCTTTGAGTTTTTGGCTTAAAAGAGTAAGGAAGATTAAATGTTGCCAAAGAAATAATCTTGGCTTAGAACTGGGTTTAGCTGGCAAAGAATATGTAGCTGACTAAAAAGTATTATAGACCTCAGAGCATGACAGTTGACTGAAGAGGTTCCAACAGTAAGAGAGAGGAGAGACTTGGGAAGAGCTGAACTCTAGCTATATGAAATTGGCATCATCAAGGGCAAGGACAGATGGGCTGAAGGTGGGAATTCTATAGGCAGCTAGAGCACAAGGTAATATGGCAGCCTACAACAGGTGGGAATCTTAGGCAGGATGTTCATGACAGGCATATGCGGAAACATAAGGAGTGTGATCCAGCCAAAGAGACTGGGATTCAGAAAAATAATCCATCCTGTGAAGCAAAGGAGAGACAAGATGTTAGACACAGAGGAACTGGCATGTAAGAAAAAGTAGTAGTAATAGTAGTAATAATTATAATAATCATTATATTTATATTGAATATTTGTATAAAATAGTTCTAAATGCTCTTCCATTTATTTATATAATAAAAATATTATTGAAATTTTATTCCATTTCAGGCAGAAAGGATTCAAAGTTGACTAATAGTCCTTGTCATCCTGGAGGAATCACTGTCATTAAAGGGGAAAAGCATGTAAACAATGATAGTTGTAGTGTGGTATATCCAATAATATAATAGCCAAAGACTAGAAGTAATGTGGTGGAGCATAAGCTCTATCTAGGAGTCAGAGAACCTTATAGAGAGGGATATACTAGTTGGTATAAAGAATAGCATCTGCATCAGTCCAGGATGTAAGAATAATGGTATGTCTGGTAAAACAAAAATAAACAGGTACTAGTGAAGCAAAAAGTCTAAGAGGTAGACATTAGATGAAGTGGTAGATGATAATACTGGAGAAAGTAGACCTGAAGGGTTTTGTATGCCATAGTGGGGATCTTGGATTTTTTTCCTGTTAGTAATGGGGAGTCATTGAAGAATTTTAAGACCCAAAGTGAATAAACAGAATTTCTTTTCCACAGACCACTCTGATGGTGGCATTGATATATATGACAGAGGAGAACCCTAGAGCAAAGGGGAGGTAGAAGTACAGATAGATGAGATAGACATACAGAGTGTCCATAAAGTTCATGTGTGATTTGTTTCAAACTTTATGGACACTCTGGATAAGACCATTAAAGAAATTGAATATGAAGTAGGGGGTTTGTCTGACCTAGGTTCTCCTCCTTCTACTATAGGGGCTAAGTATCTCCAGGAAAGGAATATGGTAAATTCCTGGAGTGGAAAGCAAAGTAGATATGTCTAATGTTTAATTTTAAAATATCCATAGTAAACAAGGCAGAATTATAGTATAGCTGAAAATTTGTACCCTTTAACTAATGTCTACTCATCCACCCCTAATTTTGGGCCCTGGCAACTACTCTTTTACTCCCTGTTTCTATGAGTTCAACTTTTATAGATTCCACATATAAATGAGAATGTGCAGTATTTATCTTTCTGTGCCTGGCTTGTTTCACTCAGCATAATTTCCTCCAAGTTTGTTCACGTTGTCACAAATGACAGGATTGTTTATGTAAAATATGATAAGAGGAGATTTTAAATATTGATACTACAAATACACATACACATAATGATAACTGTGGGTGTTGATGTGTGTGTTAACTTGATCATGACAATCATTATAGAGTGTATATCAAATCATATGTGACATACTTTGAATATATACTATAACATAATTTTTATTTGTCAATTAAATATATTTAAATATATATGTATTCATATATAATCTCCATAGTAAACAGCATGTCTAAAAATCTACCCTTGAAGCCTACCTAAGAGAAAAAAGAACTGTTTTTCTCTCCCTGTCTCTTTTTTCAAATCCATATCCAAGTGCAAAATCTTCTATTTATTGCCTCTACACCAACTCCCAAATAATACCAGTTTTAATCACCTGATCAGGAATCTATCAATTATAGATAGCCAGATGCCAAATATTTTAGGTTTTACAGCCCATAGACTCTCTTAACCATTCAACTCAACTACTCATCTCTGTATTATAGTATTGTAGTGCAAAAGCAACCATAAATGATAGTTAAATGAATGTGGTTGTGTTCCAAGTAAATTTTATTTACAAAAATGGGCAACAGGCTATATTTGACCTCTGGGCCATAGTTTGTCAACTCTTAGCCTAATGGATAACCTCATGTGTACATCAGGAAGGAGAGTGAAGAGAGATACAAAAAGACATAGCCTTTAAAACCCTTTAATGACTCTCTTTTAACCAATAGCATAGAGTGCAAGCTCCTTAGCATGGGAAGGATCTTTATTGAAAGTAAGGTCTATTCATCTAATTAAAAGTGGAAATTTGTTTAGAATAGAATAGTAATGCTTCCTGTCACATAATTTACTTTATATATACACACACATATACACACAGACATATATACGCATGTGTGTGTGTGTGTATACAGTTTTTGTTAAGAATACATTTGTTTTTTTCTTTTTCCCTGCCATTCTAAGCTCAGTTTGAATCTTGACATTTTAACTTATGTTATTATTAGTAATAATGAGAATAACTACCATATACTCTGCCATGTTATAGATGAGAATGCTCAGAAGTAGAGTAAGCATTTCCCAAATAACACAGCTGCTAAGTAGTAGAACCAGCATATACACTGAGGCCATATCTATTAAAAGTCCATGAACTTAAACCCTGCTATATTCCTTAAAGCCATTGGGGGTAGGGAGGGGGGTGTGGCTGGATATTCTGTCAGAAAAGCAAAGAGCTGAGCAAACAATGAATAATTTTCTTGATTTGAGCAATGATTTATTGAAATTGTTTGTTAAATTAGGCTGGAGGAATATCACAAATAGGGTATGTAAGGAATTACGTAAAGAATATCAAAGAAAATTGAATTTCTATTGATATACACAATAATTATGCTTAAATTTTGAATGATTTGAACACTAAATAATTAACCTCATAAAGTTCTGCCATTCTTAAAGAGTAGACCTAAATGCATGTATGAAATTAGAGCAGTGTTTTTCAATCTTTTTTTATCTCACACCACATTTGAACCTATAGTTAAACTTCTGCAGCACAGCTAAATTATGTTGATCAAAAAAAGAGTGAAAAAATATATACTTACTACGCTTTGAACGTCTTTCAAAACTAACTTAATTAATGATCTTTAAAAAAATTTCACGGTATACCAATTGAAAATCACTGACTTAGATGGAGAAAAGTCATAGAATTCTGAAAGCAGACTTTCACAAGTTTCTGTATACTAGCAAAGTACTATAACCTGCTTAAAAGAAAATGTTAAGGGTGACATTTTTCTGGGGGGAATGCCAGATATGCACATACATTTTAAACTGATATCCTCAAATTGTTTTGTCTTTTCTTCCCTGGCCACACTGAAACACTTTTCCAGCAAATTTGCCCCAGTGAAGACTTCTGTCCACCTCCACCAAATCCAGATGACATTGTCCTTGATGAAAAGGTTTAAAACTAGAGACCTCAGAATCCAGGGTGATATTAGAGGCTAACTCAGAAATTTCCAAGGAAAGCACAAACCTGGGGAACCCAGAGGAGTCCTATGAATAATGTATATACACTAAATTCGAAACTCTACTTTGGATATTCCTGCTGGCCTCAGAGTCCTCTTGATGAAAGGACTGATTAAAAAAAATACTAGAAAGCGTCAGCCAGTTCCTGTAGATAATTGTAAGGAGAAACAGGCCATTGAAATCCCAAAGAGTATTTTCATTGAAGAGGAGATTCCAGGACCACAGAATACTTGCAGACTTGGTACCTATAGCACAGTGGTTAATGAGGCTAGCCACATACACCCAGGTTGGTGGGTTGAAACCCAGCCTGGGACAGCTAAGTCACAATGACAACTGCAACAAAAAAATATAGCAGGGCATGGCAGGTGCCTGTAGTCTCAGCTACTTAGGAGGCAGAGGCACGAGAATTGCTTAAGCCCAAGAGTTTGAGGCTGCTGGAAGCTATGATGCAACAGTACTCTACACAGGGTGACAAAGTGAGACACTGTCTAAAAAAAAAAAAAAATACTTGTAAAGTAAACTGATTTGCCCATTTTTATATACTAAGTCTGTGGGATTAGCAGATGAAAATCATAAATGCATTCATTCCCAGGAATACAGATATAGATAAGAAATTGACCCTATGCATTGTTAATAATTCTATGATATTAGAACAACTTTTGCTTGCCATTTTGGGATTTTTATTTGAAAAACACATCTAAAAATAAAAAAAAAGTAAAACATCTTCAGAACTAACTCACATATTTTCTTTGATTTGTTGGAATTAGGTTTTTTTCATGGGTATGAACATCATTACATAATGACAAAAGCATACACAGATTGAGAAAAACTTAAGTATCATGATCTAGGCAATACCCTGTGTTGGGAGACAGGTTTTTTTTTTCTATGTTGGGAAATATTGAAAATACTAATATTAATATGTTCAGCCACTTTTACAAAAAAATCAGTATTTTTTAAGTTGGCAGTGATATATGTATGTGAATTATTTACACACTGAGAAAGCTCAATAATGAAGAAATCAAAAAATGAAAGGTTTGGATAAGCTTATTGGTACTTTGATATTCCATCTAGTCAAGGAAATAGAGCACTAACCTAATTGTTATCTACAGACCTAATTTAGTCCTGTTTTGCCATTAGGCAATTCAATCCAACTGATGATATTAAGCAAATTATTAAACTTCTGAGTCTCAGTTTCTTCAGATTTAAAGCAAATGCTTTTTATGGAAGAAAAATTGTTTCAGATTTTTACCATTGACTTGTAGATGAATATCAAAACTCTCATGCAGCAAATAATTTCTGGCTGTCAATTTCCCAACAAAATAGAACACAGTGTTTTTTATTGCTTGATGCTTTTAAATGAAAATATGTGTCCTAAGTTAGTATGTTATAGTCTTGGGGACTGGTAAATATAGTATCAAGGGAATTGTGGTTTTGAAATCTTACTAAGTAAAATACTCTATAAATTTGTCCTATTCCTTTTCTGGTAGGTAAACTGAAACCACTAAGGAATTTGAATTGACTATGGCAGTTGGTTAACCCTAACATATACCACACGTAAAAAATGTTAGGGCTATACATAGGCAGTAAATCTGGTTATAATGATAGTGCCAATCTCTGATGGTCTACATTTTCTAAGCAATATTTTAGACCTATAGCTGCCTATAAATCAATAAACAAACTTATAAGTTTCTTGTCTCAGGGTCTGGCCAGTATTGCCTTTCGTGAATCCATGGCTATGTTGTTAAGCACCATAGTTCTTATATACTACAGCTGCAGCTTTCAGAGATCTTAAAGGAAGCTTGCTGTGGCAGGTCACAGATTCATGGAAAACAGAAAGAACCAAGAAATGTTGATCTTGCCTCATGTATCCAACCCCTGAAGATACAGTTGAATCCAGAAGAAAGGGAAAACTGCCAGCCTCTCAGGATGCTCCTAACCCCACTTTCCAGTATACTGCCTCTCCCTTGTCTCTTTAGTCTCCTCTTTCCCTCCCTTCCCCTTCTATAATGTGACACAATCAGGGAAAGTAGAATCACATTATAACCTACTTATCTTTCATGAGGGAAATCAATGTGTCCAGCCCCTTAATACCAGAAATACAAATGTTTCCATTAGATGAAAGTATTGAGTCAGAATATAATGGTGGTAGGGCGGTGCCTGTGTCTCAAAGGAGTAGGGCACCAGCCCCATATGCTAGAGTTGGTGGGTTCAAATCCAGCACCGGCCAAAAACTGCAAAAAAAAAAAAAAAATACAATGGTGGTAAATTATGCTAATAAAGATACTGTACTTTGTTATAGTCTTAGAATTAAGGCCTTTGAACACAGCATGCATATTTATGTAAACAGACTATCAAGGTAGGCCTAGAATAACTAGAAAAATTCTGATGACCTTACTGCAGTTATCTATATGTAGCACAATGAAGAAGGTAGTTTGTTATCACATATTACAGTCCGTATTGTACCCTGTTTTATCCAGCCAGCATCAAAATTTCTTCTAGGTCATTTATTAAATACTGTTGAAATGTTTAAAATCTCTTGAATATGATCAGTAATAGTTAAAATACAACACAGCTGCTAAAATTCTGTTAGAGAACTTTAAATATTACCTGTTACCTTAGACCAGTGGTTCTCCACCTTCCTAATGCTGTGAACCTTTAATACAGTCCAAAGGGGTCACAACTCACAGGTTAAGAACCATTGCCTTAGACCATATTAATAATAGATATTTTCCTAGCGGTATTCTTTTCCAATATCTTAATCATGACAAATAAGTGTTGGTTTTCATAATTTTAAGTCAACAACAAGAAAAACCTTTTGGTTTTGTTGAAAAGCTTTATGATTGCAGGCCAGGTACAGTAGCTCACACCTGTAATCTTAGCACTCTAGGAGGCCAAGGTAGGAGAATACCTTGAGCTCAGGAGTTTGAGACCAGCCTGAGCAAGAGCAAGACCTGTCTCTACTTAGAACAGAAAAAAAAAAAAAAAATTGCCAGATATTATAGTACATACCTGTAGTCTCAGCTACTCAGGAAGCTAAGGTAGGAAGATTGCTTGAACATATGAGTTAGAGGCTGTTGTGAGCTAAACTAACACCATGACAGTCAACCCGGTGTAACAGAGTGGCACTCTGTTAAAAGAAAAACACAAAGGCTTAAGCTTGCAGTCATGTTAATATTAGTATGTTGTACCTAGTGCAAAATTTTTAGTAGCTAAATTAAAATTTTGAAAATTGCTATTATCAAAGAATTTTGATTCATGTATTCAAAATGTTTAGTTATACAGGCTTCTTGTTAACCAAAAATGCTAATACTTCTCAATTTAGTGTTCAATATGAAAAACAATAACTAATTATATATTGCTATTGTATTTTTTCTAATTGGTGTGCCTGCTCATAATTATACATACCACATTCGTAAAAGGTCAATTCATATATTTTTCTTTTCTTTCTTTCTTTCTTTCTTTCTTTCTTTTTCTTTTCTTTTTTTTTCTTTTTTTTAGACAGAGCCTCAAGCTGTTGCCCTGGGTTGAGTGCCATGGCATCACAACTCACAGCAACCTCCAACTCCCAGGCTCAAACGATTCTCCTCCCTCCACCCCTCAAGTAGCTGGGACTACAGGCACCTACCACAACGCCTTGCAATTTTTTTTTTTTTTTTTGGTTGCAGATGTCATCGTTGTTTGGCAGGCAGGGCTGGATTCGAACCCACCAGCTCAGGTGTATGTGGCTGGAGCCTTAGCCACTTGAGCCACAGGCGCCAAGCCATCATATGTTTTTCTATAGGAAAACTGAGTTTAATTTTTCCCTATCTCCAGTAATATTTAGTTTTCCATAGTTAAATTGCCACATTAATCAATAACTTCTAGAACTATCCTAGTTTCTGAGATTGGCAGCTCTTTGTCTAAAACAATGACCATACTAGTGATTAATTTCGGTCATTTCCACAGTTCTTTTGTCTAAGTCCAAAAGACTTTTAAAAAAAAAGTGGTGAAATGTAATTGGCAAATAATAGTGATCCTTTAAAATATGAATTAGAAAAATTTTCTTATGAATAACTTACTGCTGTTGGTATTGAATAATTTTTTTTTGACAGAGTTTCACTTTGTCACCCTCAGTAGAATGCCATAATGTCACAGCTCAGAAAACCCTCAAACTCTTGGGCTTAAGCGATTCTCTTACCTCAGCCTCCCAAGTGGCTGGGACTACAGGTGCCTGCCACAACACCTGGCTATATTTTTGTTGTAGTTGTCATTGTTGTTTGGCAGTCCCAGGCTGGGTTTGAACCTGCTAGCCCTGGTGTATGTGGTCAGTGCCCTAGCCACTGAGCTACAAGCACCAAGCCTGAATAATTTGTTCTTTACTCTCAGTTAATTTTCTAACATGTGGCTCAGTGCCTATAGCTAAGTGGCTAGGGCACAAGCCACAGGACCAGGAATGGTAGGTTTTAACCCAGCCCCAGCCTGCTAAACAACAATGACAACTGCAACAAAAAAAATCCAGGCACTGTGGTGGGTACCTATAGTCCCAGCTAGTTGGGAGGTGGAGGCAAGGAAATCACTTAAGCCCAAGAGTTTGAGGTTGCTGTGAGCTGTGACACCACAGCACTCTACACAGGGTGATATAGTGAGACTCTGTCTCAGAAAAAAAAAAAGTTTCCTACATGTATTTCAAAATCATGAATATATGATTATTCATAATTTTCACACTGTAAGTTTTCAGAAGTAATGAAGGTTTATGATGTCTTTCAGATGTGATTTCATATTTTTTTAATATAAAAAGTTTGTATATATATCTAGAAATTGTTGTCTTGGGCCTGATTGATTTTTTGATGTTAGTCTATTAAGTACTCAGGTAATTGTCCAGCTGTACATTTTGCTTTGTTTTTAGTTATCTGCCAACTGTGCTAAGTTTGTGAGAAAAACTATCAAATAATACATGGACTTGATTTATTTAATGAACTCTTCTAGATACCTGCATTAATGTCGATATCAAACAAAGTTAGATGAGACTTTTTCCGTTTTCAGTTAGTACTGTGGAGA